AGAGAGAGAGAGAGAGAGAGAGAGAGAGAGAGAGAGAGAGAGAGACTGACTGACCTTGGGGGCCAATTCAATCCACTGCACTTCTCAGCTTCTAATCCTGCGGCCACCAGAGTGTTTCCAGTGTTTACTCAACAGCTTAGCTTCTCAATTACTTGACTCCATGGACACCAACTATTTTGTCTCCATCCTGTTTCAGACATTGGCCTCTGGGGCCGGGCCATACCTGTCCTTCCATGGCAGCCTACACAGTCCCAACTACTTAAACTGTTTCCATATTTGGGTTGCCAAATGATGCTAGAAAATATCACAACCAGTTTGCAGTGCCCAATAAATTCAGTTTCTGACACAAATTAGGAACTTCAACAATGCTCAGCAGCCCTTCCTTGTGTTTTGTTAGCTCGCTCTTCCATTCTCAGTGGCTTCTCCAGACTGTGCTTATTCTTTCCCAGCTTCTGACTCACTGGCTCCCTCCTTGTACTCAGCAGACCACTCTGCCTCCAATTCAATAAGCAACTAAGCAATCAAGGTCTCCAGGTGCTAATTATTTTATTCCACTACTGCCCAATCACATATCCATCTGCCTTTACTCTTTCCTTTCTTTTCCAGAAGACAAGGTGTCCCTACTTGCTGGCCAAGGCTGAGCTTGAGATGCCCCCTCCCCCACTGCTCTTTCAGAATCCAATATAGCATTCACTGCCCCTACCCAACCACGTTATGATCTCCTGGCTCCATCTCTCAGCATCTTCAGATCCCTCACTCCTGTAGTGACCCTCATCTGCTTCCCTTTGGAGCCACTTCTCCTTCCTAATCTCCTACTTACTCTCCAACACACTGCCAGATGAGCGTCTGCCACCCTCCCAACTCCCACCACAGACATTGTTCAGATGAGGAGCCCCAAATTATAACAGACCCCTCTTTTTGTTCTTATCTTCCTGGCCCCCTCTGTGGTGTTTGGTACTGTTACCTCTTGGAAAGTCTCCTCCTTGGTTGTCTTCTCACCTGTCTGGTAGCTCTTAGGCCTCTCTTCCTCCAGCATTTTGTAGGTATGGGTATTTCCCAAAACTCTGATCATGACCTTCTGCTCTTCTTTATATGCCCTCTCCGGAAAGCCTCATCCCAACCCAGGGTTTCCATCACACTACTATGCTGTTGTCGCTAAGCCTTCGTTTCTAGCCCCAGACCTTTGTTCTGCTAAGCTGGTCTGGTATATATCTAGATCCAATTGGACATCTCCATTTAGGTATCTTCAGGCAGCTCAAAGTCAACCCAACCAAATACCTAACTCATCTTCCTCAAAACCTGCTCTTCTCACCACCATATTCTCTTATCCTGGTGAATGCCACCAATCCTGTCTATTCACCTTAATTCAGAAATATCAAGTCAACATCCTGTCCTCTTGCCCTGATCTCTAAGTGTCTCTGCCACCTCTGTGATGCTCATATGCTTCCTCCCACTTCACTGATTCAGGTTTGAATCATCATTGCTCATCCAAATTTACCCAACAGTAGGGTCGGCCCATGTCTCACTTGGGGGAGTGTGGTGCTGACAACACCAAGTCAAGGGTTAAGATTTACCCTTACCAGTCATCTTTTTTAAAAGCAAAAAACCAAAAAACTTACCCAACAGAACTTATCTTCTGACCCTTCTCCAATCCAGCTTCCATTTGGCTGCCCTCATCAACTTTTGAAAACATCATCTGATCACATCACTCTCATGCTTTAAATCCTTCAGTGACTCTAAACAGCACTTGCCACAGTGTATTGAAAATAGTTCACTGGCTTCTTTAGGTTGCTGTAAGCTACATGGGGACAAAGACAGTGCCCTGTTTTCCTAGTGCCTAGCACAATGCCTGGCACATAGCAGGTGCTTAATATTTGAGTGGAAGGATTCCAAGTCTCACCAGATGCCACTTGTAACAGCAGAGCAAGGTGCTGGTTAAAAGCAGACTTCAGACAAGTAGACTTGGCAGGTCTGAGTGCCAGCACTGCCAACATCCAACTGGCCTGGGAAAGGTTTCTTATCTTTTGTAAGCCTCAGTTTACTCAACCATTTCCTTAAATTAGCATACCACCTACCTACTGAGAATGAGATAATGCACCTAAGGGCTTAGCACTGTACCTGGCACAGAGAAGCACTCAATGAATGGCTGCCATCATTAGTATTAATGTTAACAACCTTCAGTTAAACATCAAGGTTAGAAAAGAATCTCAGGATTTTGGCACTAGAACTACTTAGAATCCAAGAAGCAAAGTAACTTACTGTCACAAATTTAGTTAAGTTGCAAAATCAAACTTCGAACCTATCATCAGTGCAAAGTGACTTGCTGTTAAGCTGTTAGCTGTTTGGTAGACTTGCTGTATAGTACAGGGGAAGTCAAAGTGCTTTGTGAAGTACAATACACAGACAGTACACGTAGGATAGTTGCAGATATACCTGGCATGTTGTATTCATAGTTTGTCTCTCTAAACTTGAACTTGGGCTAATGTGCCTTGGGGCAAGTTCATAATTACAGTACTGTTGATCTTTCCTATTGTCAGCTGTAATCATCCATAAAAGTAGGAATCAAATGATTCCTCCCTCCTTAGAGCCTTTGCCAGATCAGTGGTTCTTAAGGGTGGATGGAGGGGCAGTGCTATCTCAAAATACATGCCCCCTTACCATTTTAAGAACCATTTTGTTAAACGAAGTTTTAGACTATCACAAGCATGGCTGGCAGAATATGGTTCTCACACTTTGTCTTTTCCCATTGTCACCTGCATCAGGGGGTCTCTTAGAATTAGAAAACTTCATTATGTTATGAAAAGAACAGTAGCAAGAGCTTACATTTGTCATGCATATGCGCCATTCTCAGATTTAAGGCAGAACAGGACTTGCTGATTGGGATTTGGGCAGCAATCTGCAATAGCGTTCGTCCACCAACAATTGGATGAAGCTAAGACCTTGGGGACAGATGGATAGAAAAGGGGGACTGAAGTACAGGGGATCCCCAGGCACCCTTGCAAAGTAAGCTGGGCTCTGACCAGAAAATGTGACGAGGAAATGTCTGCAAGGTCCTCTGATCTCCCAGATTTCTCCTGGTGAGCAAAAGTAAGACTGAGCTCTTTCCAACACTGGACTGAGTGAGACCAGGTGCTTGTCTAGATATGAGGGTGGGGGCTGGGGGTAGCATAAAAGCCAGTTGCTACTTTACCAAGAAATACACAAAGTCAGTTTTGTTTCAGCCAACAAGTACCCTAAAGATTGAACTCAAATGGAATTTTCCAGTTATCTTCCAGTTTACTGATCACAATGTAATTAACAACTGCTTCCATGTGTATTCCTAGTTTTTGGTGTGTCTTCTTGGATTATTCCCACCTATCGCTGTGTAAAATGTGCTATGGTTTGAATGTTTGTCCCCTCCAAAGCTCATGTTGAAACTTGATCCCCAATGTAACAGTATTAAGAGGTGGGGCCTTTAAGAGGTGATTTGGTCATAAGGGCTCTGCTCTGTTAATGGATTAACGGGTTAATGAATTAATGGGTTATCACGGGAGTGGGCTAGTTATCACAAGAGAGGTTCTGTTACAAAAGCCAGTTTGGCTCTTGTGCACCCCTCTTGCCCTGAGATACCTTCTGCCATGTTATGACAAAAGGATCTCACCAGAAGCCAACCAGATGCAGCTGCTTGACCTTGGACTTCTCAGCCTCCAGAACGCTGAGCCAAAAAAACACCTCTTTTCTTTATAAATTACCCAATCTCAGGTATTCTGTTACAGCAACAGGAAATGGACTAAGACAGGTGCTCGGCACCCCTTTGTGAACAATCATGGACATTACACATGTTGTGCTCCACAGGAACCAACTTGCTCAGAGCTTAACAGCTGCTTGTGCAAGCAGATCCTCAAGGATACAAGACCATGTCTGGGATCTGGTTTGGCTGCAGAAAATTCGCTTCTACAGGTAGCTGTGACTGTGACTCTAATGCCCGGAACCAGAACAGCCACTCAAGAGGGCACAAGTCCTGGTATATACATGGAGCCGGCATTCTGTCAAGACAGAGTGCAGATAGTAATCCTGGACACAAGGTCAGACCTGTGACTCACCTTACCAAGTTGAGGGTGTGTGCCACTAAAGAAGAGCTGGCAGCAGCAACCAGGCTGGCATCAACAAGCACCCCTTCTCCCCCACTGTCCCTCCCTCTTGCCCACTCAATGATTCACTCTCTACCTCACTCTCCCAGTCACACACCCTCTATGTGAGGGTGTTCAAATGGCTTGGGGTGTCATTTTAGATGTGCTCATTGATTTGTGGTATGGATGAGGACAAGGCATCATATGTTACACACAAAGGCTTGGTCAGTACTTTTTGATGACTCCCAGAAAACAATAACCCCAGTTAGTGCAGTCCACAAAGACCATGGGAACCCCCCTAAGAACTATAGCCTCATGGTATCTTGTGACAAAAATACTTAACATGAAATTAAAAAGAAACCAGTACACGGGCCGGCCCGGTGGCGCAATGGAGAGTGCGCCGCTTGGGAGTGCGGCAGCGCTCCCGCCGAGGCTTCGGATCCCATGTGGAGACCGGTTCCCGCTCACTGTCTGAGTGCAGTGCGGGCGCGACACTGAGGGTTGTGATCCCGTTACCGGTCAGTAAAAAAGACAAAAAGGAAAAAAAAAAAAAAAAAGAAAGAAACCAGTACACAATTGTTTTTCCATTATAAAAATTTATCAAGGGAATAATTTGAGTTTTTAGAGGCTTGGGTTAGCAAGGTAAAAGACTAAAAACCATTAAAACACTTTAAATTCTTTTTAACCTACCATGTGGAACCTAAATTAAATAAATCCTTTATTACTTTAGGAAAGAGATTGATTTCCTAAATCAGTAAAGTTGATTTCCAAGCTACACTTTTACCTCTGCTGCCTTATAACCGTAAGGGGAACTAACCTGACCACAGATAGCTCCCCTGGACATCAAGGTGGGAAGAACAGGCAATATGCTGACATAGCCTAGATGGAGACTCTGAGCCAAAAGCAAAGTCTATGAAATGTAATGTGACCATTTCTTTATCATCCAACCAGGATACTTTTGAGTGAAAGAGGGTGCTGTTAATTACTTGAGAACAAAAGGAATAAAATGAGTCACATGGCCACCTTAGTGATGAGGCAATTTGGGAAACTACATTTCCCAGTATGCCCTGTCCCTTTAAAGTTAAAAGCCTGACTGATGCAAAGTGCCCTGGAACCTGTGGTTAGCACCATTTAAGAAGTAAACAGTATAGGGCTAGGTTCTGACATGGAGGCTTCCCCCTTCCAGAGGACATGTAACCAGACACAGGACACAACACCTGAGGTGAAACTTCAATGGATATTAAGTCTGGGGTAGAGCCTCTCCCCCGACAACAATTCTAGCTTCCAAAGTGTGGAGATGGTAGAGCTGCCCATTGGTCCACTGCCCTGGTTCTCCTAGGTGCTGCCTCTGCCTCCCCACATACCCACCATCCCCCCTGCTGCTAGTCTTTTGGGGGATTCTGGGCTAGGTGCTGTTCCCACTCGACTTCAACCAACTTGTACAGCTCCATGGTGGCCTGGGCATCTTCCACAGAGGAATGTCCGCTTTTCCCAACCTGAACAAGGGAGGAAGAGAAGAGCATGAAGCTACAAGAGACTGTTTCTTCCCTTCCCAACTGACTCCCCACATTCCCCCTCCTTCTGCCCCCTATACATGCTGTTTCTTCTGCCTTAGAGGGCTGCAAAGATAAAACTCTGGTGGGACCCTACTCCTTATCTAATTTCAGGGTATCTTTGCTATTGTCTATCTCAATCCTTTCTGTGGCAACAGGTATATGCCGTATTATGCTAAGTTCTGCAGAAACAGAACACACCAGATCAAGGCAGGCCTTTTGAGTCTTCTATCTTCCCCAGTTCCTTAACTGCTCTCTATATGACATCTGTCCATACTTTCCTACAAGGCAGGCCACCCCACCTTGAATGCCAAGCATATGAAATATATGAGTGGTCCCTGCATCCACTACGTGGTCCTCTACACCACTACTACTACTTGCTTTCTTCCCTTCCTAGTTAGGGTTTTACTTTAAGCTTTTTTCCTTTTCTAGATTATCCTTTGTTACACCTTGTGAAGTAAAGAATGGGAATTATTACCTCTATGTACAGATAGAGAGAGGCTACTGAGCCCTTTAGCTCAAAGCTGTTACCATCAGAGCAGCCCACCTGAATCTCTGCAACCATAGGACTTCTGGGGTCAGAGCCTGGAGAGATGCGGCAATAAGAGCCTCCACCAAGCCCGAAGGAGGATGGCTGAGGCGGGGTGTGTTTGGCATGTGTGAAGAGGCTACCTGGATGTCCCGGTCCAACAGCTTCTTAGTGAGACTCTTCAGAGACACGGTGGCATTCTCTGGGCAGTTGGCCTTCCGGTTGAGGGGGGGGATATGGGAGGTGTCACGGGTGAGGAACTTGGGATGAAAGTACTGAAGGGCTTTGAAGTCATTGTGGATGGCATGCCCCACCACTATCTTCCCTCTAAGTATCTTCAAGATCTGGAAAAGGCGTAGAAGAGGAGGTGATGAGAAGGAAGACTCAAATGTCCTGAAAGCCCCACATGGCTGTTGGTTCTGGGTTCTTTTTACCAATTGCCCACCTGCCTCATCCTTGAAATGCCCTCTCCCACAAGTTTTCTTTCTCCTGAAATCTATCTCCTCTTCCCTGGAACGAAAATAGGGCATTTCCATGGTATAACCCTGCTTGGACTTACATCATCAGTGGCTCCTTACCTTCTCATAAATTTCCATCCCAATGACAGATTAATTTGCCTTCATTCCTAAAGCTAACTCATGTTTGAGATGTTCATTTAACTATTTAGTTCAGTTCCAGCTTGCTACTTGAAGTCCTTTAACTTTACCATTATGCTTGCCTTAAACACAAGGCTGGGACCCATGAAGTCAAAGATGGGCTCCAAGGAGTTACTGGAAGTGCAAAATTACAAGCAAGTAGATATGGATGGGTACTTCTGTGAGGAGAGAGTCTGTGGCTTTCATCAGATTTCTCAAAGGTCCACAAGCCATAAAAGATTAAGAATCACTTATAGACCAAGGCTGCAGAGGGAACTTAGTCACATTAGTCTTGGATGCAAATGACTTCTGACCATTTCAGGATCTTAAAGCATGAGGGCACACTACTAATGAGGACAATCAAAGAACACGCCATGGACTCTAAAGGCCATTCCAAAAATGGGGTTACAAGCAGGTTGTGAACATGAGCAACAGTCCTGCATGGCCTCCCAAGGGGACCCCTTTGAAGAGGCCAGACTCATTTGGACATCCTTAGTTTCATAAGCCCTGCTTGGACACTGGGGAAGTGCTTTAGGATGAAAACCAGATGCAGTCCAATCGACTAGGTATTCAGTTGCTCCTGACTTCACCCGCAGTTTACTGCCTACCACCACCTTTATTTTTTATTAACCTCAGAACACAGCCCTCATTAAAGCTGAGCAGATTTGCTATCTCAGACCCATCCCATCTTCTGCTTCTCCCAAGTTTTGCTCAGTTGTGCCCCTTGTGTACACAATGTTCTTCCACTCTTCCAGGACTTTTGTAATAACCAGCTGCTTCACCTCTGATTCATCTCCTCGCTGACTGTTCTAGCATATAAGTAATTACTGGAACAGAGTGTGTTTAGACAGGCAGAGTGTGGTCCTGAAATTGCAAAGATGTGGACCAACGGCGCCCTCTGGTGGCTTCTCAAGATCAGAAGGCTCCCCTCTTGCTCTCCACTTCCTTCACCTGTCCCAGTTCACCCTCCTTTTCTGTTCATTTTTTGTGCTCCCAATATCCAGCACAGGGCTAGAATGAGTGAGATGAGAATCCCAACATGTCGACTCTGTGTTTTTTTATCACCTTCACTGCAGGCTACCTGTCCTAGTTGTACAAGTATGCCTCAGCTCCTTGTCCTCTTCTACCATCAACACTTTCCATACTTGCCCCAAACTACTTTTTGCTTGGGAAGCCCTCCACCTGTTCACTCCCAAACCTAGACTGCAACTGTAAGGCATTCCCAAATTGAGCCCTTTCCCTTGACACTCATGCTTGCTGCTCTGTCCAGTTTCATCACTGGCTGTTATTTCTCTATGCATATTCCCAGTTTCCCAGATCACAGTCCCACTTGGGACCTAAAGTAGGTCCAGATTAATGAAGTTTGTTACACCGGTTAATTGTACCTTCCCGACTTTCACCACTCCTTACCCCAATAGGAAGCCACCTTCATCATCTGATATTCTCCTTCCTCCCTCCACAATCCTTTGGCACTTTTCCAGAGTGAAGGCCATTGCTGAAAAATGACTTGGACCTCTCCCTACCCACCCATTGCCACCATCATGCCCCATAAGTGTCACCTGGCTCTGGGCAATCTTGAATGGCGTAGCATTCACCATGTGCTGCTTCCGGATACCACTCCATCTGGTTCGGTAGTCCACGATGTGGCAGGGGGGAAGGATGTACTCATCATAAAGGACATCTCCATTGTAGCTGACAATGCTACATCGAGCCAAGGAACTAATGTGCCCTTTGGGGCCTGTGCCCACCATCTCACAGTCAATTGCCACCATCTTACTTGGCAACTTCTGGGATGCTCCAGAGCATTTATTCTCTGAGTGAGCTTGGGTGGAGTTCTGTGGGGCATTCTTTTGAGGGCGGTTCTTCTGAGGGGGGTTCTTCTGGGTGCCCTTTGTCTGGGAGCGGGTGGGATGGCTCTTAATCTTTGGAAGGGCACTCTGGAACTCCCCCAGCAAGTCTACTGTAGCTGCAACAGAATTAGCCTTCTTTGAAGGGGCAGGGGTCAGCCAAGACACTGTAGCTTTCTTGTTCAGGGACTGCTCTGACCCACTGCTGGAGGCAGCTGTCTTCTTTTTTGGGACAAGAGGGATCTTCCAAGTGTCATCTACTCGAGCAGTTTCCCCTTTCTTTGGAGGTTCTGAGTGCAGCTTAGGTGCCTTGTTAGGGAGCTGATTCTTTCTATTCAGAAAGCCCCGCCGTTCCAAGAGCCTCCGCTTCTTGACAAAGTTTCGGTGCTTGGCATTTCCTTCTAATGCCTTTTTGGGAGGAGGTTCCCCAAAGTCGAGATTGAGGAGTAAGGTAGACATGAGGACAGTGAATGATGGGACAGCAATTGGCAAGAATGGTTTACTTATGAAAGGAAGATGGGGTGGTGTTCATTCTCCGCTGAATCTTATTGTCCAACATGTGGAGGTTTGTAGTACACCTTGGGGAAGAAAGTGATTCTGGTAATTGGGCCCACAGGCCTCGGAGGAAAACGTAGCACTTAAGGGAGGAAAGACATCAGAGCAATCTCTCAGAGAAGTGTAACTGTAACGCGAAATGATGGAAGGAGTGCTGGATGAGCCCAAAAGCCTGGATTCTAGCGAAGCCCCACAATTCACCAGCCATATGGTCTTAAGAAGTCCATTCCCCCCACTAGGTCTGTCTCATTTGCAAACTGGAGGGGTTGGAGGGCCTATCGAGCTCGAATTCTGTGAGTCTAAGAAGCCAGAATAGGTGAGTTCTATAATCTGCGTAGGAAGGAAACGTCTAAGTATGCTCGAAAGCAGTGAGGGGTATAGCATAGATGATCTGCAGCGCGGGCCCCACGAATAGGTACGAATCCAGGCACCCGCTTCCCTCGGCTACGGGGGGGAACTTCCACATGCGTCTCACCCAAGTCCTCCCAAGCAAGGACCTTTGACACCACATATCAGCAGGGTGAGGATGTGTTCGAGGTTCGGGGTAGCCCACCTTGCGCCAAGCACTTTGCCAGTCCCCACCACGATGCAGACGGTTCCTATATACTCACATACCTACCTCCCAGATGGACTACGCTAAGACCGGAAGCGTCCAGAGCCGGATGCGGAAATCTGCGCTCGCCGAAGAGGCTCAGGACGGCAGGCGCGTGGGTTGGAACACGCCAGAGAACGGCGTGCGCGCGCCCGCAGCGCCCCTATCTCCGGGAGGGAGGCCAGGGATTCGGAGTGTGTGAAGAGCGGCGGCTGGGGCGGCGGCGTGGGTGGGATGCGCTCCCCGGCCCCTCTAGCCCCGTGGAGGTACAACTCGAAGGTGTGAGTAGGCCGCGACAAACCGGAACTGCAGCGCGCCGGGGACACCGGGCCTCACTTCCGGGAGAGGAGGGGAGTTTACGGGAAGGGGCGGGACCTGGGGCTTGGCCCGCCCCTCTTCGTGGGTGCGCTGCCAGGGCACGCCTCTGTGGCGTCATTGCACTGTTGCCCCGCCCCATCTGCCTCCGACGCTGACACTTTCGCGACATCTGACGTCAGGGGGAAGTCTCAAGTCTTCAGCCCTAGGATGGGATCCCGGAAAGGCAGAGTCGGGAACCGGACTCAAAACTCTTTCTTCCCATTCGGCCTGCAGAGCTGAACCCAGCCTGGGTCCTGGACCCGCGTGGTACCGACCCTGGATCCCTCCTCACCGCGTTCTCTCTCCCCGCGCCACCGGCTGGAACCCAGGATGCCGGGCGTCTCCGCCCGGGGACTCTCTCACGAGGAGAGGAGGCAGCTAGCTGTGAACCTCACTCGTGTCCTGGCGCTCTACCGTTCCATCCTGGACGCCTACATCATCGTGAGGCCACAGGGGTGTGGGCGGGGTACTCTTGGTTGTGTGGTTGGCTGGTGTCCACGACAGGGAGAGAATCCGGAGAGTTAGCTTCTGATCTCTTTTCTTCTATGACTGTCAGTCTTTTATCTATTCAAGAAGGGGTTAAAGCTGATCCTCCCTTTTTTTCAGCTGACATAAATATTAATATTTCTAATACGTGGGTTGTTTTTTTAACCTTCCCAAATACAAGGTAATAAAACGCATGGATATTTGAGCATACTGCAACTACAGTGAACTCTCCTAGGAATATATAAGGTGTTCCAAGAATACACATGTTCATTAATCCAAGCTTTGAACGAATTCCTGGTTTTGTGGTGTAGTGGACAGTTCCAGGTTTGGAATCAGACAGACTTGGGCTAGGATCCTGTTTCCCCTCCTATGTGCTCTCTCTCCCCCGCTTCTAGCCCCAGTTTCCCCAGCTGCAAAATGGATCTCTGTCTGAAGGATCATTGTGAAGAATAAATGAGATATGTAAATGGCTCCACTATCCAGTGAATTGTTCAGACTACAAACCCAGAAGTCATCTGTGATTTAGCTCTTTCCTTCGTTGATCCACAGTCCAGTCCTTCAGCAAATCCTCTTGGCTCTACCTTCAGAATAGATCTCAGATTCATCTGTCTCCATCTCCATTGCTACCACCCAGGGCCAAGGCACCATCATCTCTCCCCTGAACTACATAATCCATCCATCTCTCTGTGTTTACTTCTGCTCCTCCTAACCAGTTCTTCACTAAGCAGCCAGATTGGTATCTTTCAAATGTAAATCTGACCGTGACACTCGCTTGTTTTCTAGGTGCTCTGATAAAATTCTGACTCCTTACCATTATCTATGAAGTCCTATCTGATATGGCCCCTTCTGCCTCTTCAGCCCCGTCACATTTCATTCTCTCCCACATTCACTATGCTATACCTACACTGGCCTGATTTCTGTTCCACAAATATGGCAGGCATCTGGGCCTTTGCACTTACTGATCTGCCTGGAATGCTTTTCCTACACAGAAAGGCAATAAAGCAGAATGGTTAAGAGCAAGGTCTCTAGAGTGAAATTGGTTTCAAATCCCAGTTCTGCTACTTATTAGCTTTTTGACTTGGACAAGTTACTTGGTTGCTGTGCCTCGGTTTCCTCATCTTTAAAATGGGGGATAAAAATAGTACCTACCTCGTGTTGTTTTAAGGATTAAAAGCATTAATACATGTCAAATGTTTACAATATCGCCTGGCATAAGTGTGTGTTTACTATTACCAGTATTATTTACATGCTTGATTTCTGTTCTTGATTCAAGTGTCAGCTCAAGTATCAACTCCTCAGACAAGTCTTCCCTCGTCACTCTATCTAAAGTAGTCCTGGGTCAAACTCTCTACTAGATTACTGTTTTGCCAGTGTTTTATTGTCTGTGGCATGTGATGTTATCTGCAATTGTTATTGTCATTTTTCTTTTATTAGCTGGCCAATACAGAGGTCAAACTCTGGACATTGGTGTTATTAGCACCACATTCTAACCAACTGAGCTAACTGGCCAGCCCATATATATATATATATATTTTTAAAAGATGACCGGTAAGGGGATCTTAACCCTTGACTTGGTGTTGTCAGCACCACGCTCAGCCAGTGAGCGAACCGGCCATCCCTATATGGGATCCGAACCCGGGGCCTTGGTGTTATCAGCACCGCACTCTACCGAGTGAGCCACGGGCCGGCCCCCATATTTTTTTTATGTAAACTACAAGAGCAAGAATCTTGTCTCTTTGGTTCACTTTTGTACCCCCTGAGCATAGAATAGAATAGTATAGACCTTGGTGTATAATCAAAACAGAGCCCCAGAATTTGTGGTGAACAAATGAATGAATAAAAATACACATGTGTCTGGCACATATAATGGCAGGTTACTAAATGATAATGTACTAGTACTGTGTTGTGTGTCAGTCACTCTGGTAAGTGATAGGAGATGTGGATGCAAAGAAGACACCATTCCTCCCCTTAAGTTCAGCTGAGTAGAGAAAACAGACCAAAGTAAGTGGAGAAATTGCTAAAAGGAGAGATGTGTGCAGAATGTAGTCTGGGCTCTGAGGAAGAGGTAGGCAACGACGAGGGGAAATGGGAGTGTGGCAAGAAAGAACAGGAATGGTAGTAGCCTGCTGATTGCTTCTGCCCTTCTCCTACAGGAGTTTTTCACAGACAACCTGTGGGACACACTCCCTTGCTCCTGGCAGGAAGCATTGGATGGACTGAACCCACCGCAGCTGGCCACACTGCTGCTGGGAATGCCGGGGGATGGGGAGGTAGTCAGGTATGGGCTAGAAGGGCCCTGTGCTGGGGAACTCAAGGCACTGAGCCCCACAGCAAGCCATCACTCAGAGAGTCTCTCAAGGTCTTCCTGGGTCCCTGGGTTGTAAACTGGTATGCTCATGATGCTGTGGACTATTCACTGGAGGCCTGGACTATTTCAGGTACAGGTCAGTGTGGCCACTCACCCTTCTGGCCCTGAAGTCCACAGCCTATGCCCTGGCCTTTACCCGGACGCCTGGCTTCAAGACCCCCTCAGAGTTCTCGGAGAACCCCAGCCAGAGCTCCCGACTAACACCTCCATTCCGGAAACATGTCAGGCCCAAGAAGCAGCATGAGATCCGGAGGTTGGGAGAGGTGAGGAGATGGCTAGAGTATAGGTGATGTCTGAGAGTCTGTGGGTTGCAAAGATGTGTGCTCCTTACCTCAAATGCTGGACCAGAGACCCTAGAATTTCCCTTCCTTGGCAGACATAATTTAATCATATCTTGATGCTAGGGTTTTTTTTCATCCTGTTGTGGGGTTGGTTGGAAGCTTGGTCTGAATCATTGTCCTATTCCTGTTCTCACATCTCCACAATCTGCTCATGGCTTCACAGAGCAGCCTGTGGGAGGCTGAATCACTGATCAAAGGAGCAAGGGGAGTGGCCCGAACCTGGGGTCAGCACCCACCCTAACCCCCATTTGGTTTCCACATCTTTTGTCTCTTCTGGGGCACTCTCTGTCCATCTTCCTCTGTCATCTTTGGCTCCTCCACCTTCATTATGGTTGTTTTACTCTGGGAGTCAAGATCCAGTGGCCAGGAGACCTTTGCTCCCTCCTCTTTCAGTTGGTGAAGAAGCTGAGTGATCTCACAGGCTGCACCCAGGTGGTGGACGTGGGCTCAGGCCAGGTGAGCCAGATCCCTAATATACTGTTTTTTTCTTTTTTTGAGTCATGGGGATAGAACGTGGAAGACAGGTTACCAGGCCATAGGCCCAGGAAGGCAGGTGCTGAGAAGTGACGGAAACAGGCAGGGCAGAATTTGGGGCCCACGTGTTAAGGCCACTAATAGGGAGGGTGACAGTTAATAGGGCACTGAACAGGGCTGTCTTCATCCTCCCTCTCATGACTCTAGGGCCATCTCTCCCGCTTCATGTCTCTGGGGCTGGGACTGATGGTGAAGAGCATTGAAGGGGATCAGAGATTGGTGGAGAGAGCCCAGCGCCTGGACCAGGAGCTCCTGCAGGCTCTGGAGAAAGAGAAGAAGAGGAACCCGCAGGTAGGCCACCCTTTCCTGCAGCCTGACTGTAGGAGCCTGGACTGCAGCCTGGACCACAGAACTGCTTGGTTGGTATTGGGCAAGTTTCTTCTCTTCCAAGTTTCTCGGCTTGAGAGTGTATGGTCCTACCTATATTTGCTACCTCTTTCCTCAAAGGTTCCCCCCTCCCCAAAG